CCCCCCCCCCCCCCCCCCCCCCCCCCCCCCCCCCCCCCCCCCCCCCCCCCCCCCCCCCCCCCCCCCCCCCCCCCCCCCCCCCCCCCCCCCCACCAGAGAAAAAATTATATAGAAAAATTTATGTGGTTCAACATATAGCACCGACATCTATGGATCAAATGCTGAATGAGTTGTATCGATGTTTATCTATTGATCGTATCACTTGACATATAAGGTGAGAGAGATAAAGAAAAAAAAAAGGGTAAAAATAACACCTCTTTCGTAATTAGTGCGTGAATGTGTGCATCTAAGATTACCAAAAAAAAGGAAGAGAGGAGAGGTGGGGGGTGAATATAGTGGGCCATACAGACGATAAAAAGACCAGTGGGCCTGCTATAGCAGTCGTAACATCTTGCCATAGCTTAAAAAGATGCGGGTTAGGTTGTAACTTGTAACATCTTGAAAAGTTCATACATAAAAAAGAATCCCAAGGAAGACAGCTCGGGGGTGGCCTATAAGGGGTCCCTCCACTAACACACTGTTTTAGAGCATCCCCAACAAAATTTTATATTTTAACTATTTAAAAGTGTAATTTTTTATTTTAAATATTTATTTTTTCAATATATACTCTAATAGATTTTTTATATTTTATCTATTTTTTAATGTATTATTTCTCATATCATATACCTTTGTTGGAACTATTAAAGGGAGAGAGAGAAAAAAAAATGGAGAGAAAGATAGCGAATGAACAAGAAAAATTGGAAATGATAAAAAGAGAGAGAATATATTACAAACTATTTATACATAATGTTGCAGTGATACTCTAAATATAGAGCTGTAGCAAAAATATATTTTTCCTATTCTAAACANCTGCAGTAATACTCTAAATATAGAGCTGTAGCAAAAATATATTTTTCTTATTCTGAACATCTTCTATTGAAGCATGTTTTTTGTCTTTTAATAACTAAATTTTAGCTATTTTTAAATTTTAATCATTCTCTTAAAGATGCTCTTATGCATAAATTAAGGGTAACCCGAGCTTGAAAAGTGAAGACACGGCGTAACTCTTGAAAAAAATGTTGATGATTATTAGATGAGTCTATTTGAGACAATTAAATAAATTCATTGAAGTCAATCTTATTTTATATTATAGATATTTCTTCGCTAGTAGGTCTGATTTGTTGTATAAATGATTCATTGGACATTTTTTGAGCATCATGGCTCGTATTATATTTTAGATTTATTTCATATACGTACTAATTATAACCCGAACCTGAAGGTATGATGAAATATAAAATTCAAACACCCAAAAAATCAATCCCACTATATTAAATTTTTTTAATATATATATATATATATTATCGTATATGGATAATACTTGAAATAAAAATTATGTTAAATTATAAATTAATAAAATATTAAATAATTGAATAAGTAATAAAAATGAGTTATGTGATGTTTTTAGAGAAAAAAATATGTAAGGAATAAAAATTCAAGTTGTTTTATATTTTATTATATAGATAAAATGCATATATTCATACGATTGAGTTGATTTCAATATGATCAAATGAATTGGTATTATAATCTAGTTCAACTATACGATATTATAACTGTATTATTTTATCGACCAAATAGACGAAATGGTAAATAACTAAATTATATTAATGATCAGGTACCAAAGAGGGCTTTGTTTTTCCCACGTTGCTGTACCTCAGAGCAGCCTTAACCACTCTTGTCCTTCCGACCATCCTTGTCCTATCTCCTGTTTATGACTTGATCATAAAAACAGGAAACTAGAAGATGAAAAAGAAATATTGAACTGAAATCTACATAGGGCTAATCACATTTTGTACCTCGAAGTATGTTTCAAATTTTGATTTGTACCTTCAAACTTTAAAATTTTTAATTTACCCCCTCAATACTATGAATTAATAGCAATGTAGATCTTACCCAGAGTGCAGTTCAATTTTTCGTCCTAAATTGAAGCACATGAAATGCAAGTGCTTCGAGCATGACAATGAAGTATGTTTATTGATGCAAATCTTCATCTGCGATTAATTTGACACCGTTTATGTGTCAAAAATAGAGTTTCATTAATCAGATATAGGGCAACTATATCATGTACAACTCACATAAGCCGCCAATAGCTTGTGAATTTAAACTTAAGTCCACGCAAAACACTTGCAATTCACACGTTTCAAGTTATGACAAAAAACTAAATGGTAATCTGAATCAGGTCCACGTTGACACCAATTCATAACATTGAAAGTATAAATTAAAATTTTTAATATTTGAAGATTCAAAATGAGAATCAATGTATCTTTTCAAGTGCAAAGTGAGATTAACCCAGAACAAAAATACCCATTCAGCTCTACTAGTCCAACCAAAAACTTCCAACTCTAGAAGTAGCCAAGTCCAATAAGGCTTTATTATACTGCTACAGCAAATATTTAATTACAAATTAATCCTGCTCAGGATCATCACCATGATGCAATGCATAGATTATTCCCGTCTGATCGTGAAAAATTAACTTAGTTAACTAGGGAAGAATGTCGTATGTGAAATAACTAAGTCCCACATATAAGGAATAGATGTCATCTAATCTAAACCTGGAGCAAATGGATCATCTAATTAGGTTAATCAGCTGGATTATAATGCAGACAATTTGCTCAATCCAAATTCTGCTGTCTGTTCTAGGTGACATAAGGGTATGGATTTAATATCAAACAGCTTTTAAAGTACATTAACACAAAAAAGCCACAAATGGATAGGGTAAGGATGAAATGTATTATGATAAAACTATGTGCATCAAATCATCTACAACCATTGGATCAGTGATAGAACTTGGTGTACATAACATTGCTCAATGTGTTATCAAGAGAAGTGATTGAGGCCTATCATACCTAGTACGCAATGCGGGGTGAAATCTCATCCCCTTTGATGGGATCCTCTCCCCCTCCCCAGTAGGTATAGGTGAATAGGTTCTTCTTAGGGCTAGTAATAGCTCGTGTTTTTGTAATCCATAACAAACCCATTTATGATAATGTATGTTTTGGTACATGGCATCTTCACAAATCGGGTTTATAATTGTTACACCTAATTTTTATAGTAAAGGAAAAATGATATCACCACAAGGATAATTAAAAAAAAAAAAAAGAATAGTCATGCTTCAATCCAGTAAGAACCTTTCTACTTCCACCAACTGATTGCAACTGCGACAGAATTATGCAGAAGGGCTAAAGTAAAGAAATTCAACACAATTCATATTAATTTAGTATAGGTAAAAGGGGAGCCTAGTTTATAAAATTACTGTCAGTGTGGTACAAGCGGAGGATCAAATATATACGAGTTTACCTTAACATGTAAAAAAGTCTTTTTCGTGACTCGAACCCTCTGTCATCATACGAGCCTACAAAATAATTTGCAGGTCAGATGGTCCAAAATCAAGCGATGATAAAAAGACAAAACTTGTTGACACCCAGCACTAGAGGACAAGTCACATTGGTCCAATTACAGTTCATATTTAAGGTCTAAGCGGCTGGTCTAAGGCACTCCCTCATTACATATATAATGGATATTTGAGAGGAAAGAACCGACACCACCAATGCAACCTTTGACACGGCTCATTTCAGAATGTGTGTGTGTGTATATATATATATATATATATATATAGAGAGAGAGAGAGAGAGAGAGAGAGAGAGATGAATTGAATATAAAGTTGGCGGGGATTATAACTAGCAACGCCCGGAAAGTCCTCCAAGTGGCAGCAAACCAGGAAACCCTTTTTCCTCTCCTACCAGCCATCCTATTGTCACCTACTTAAGAGTACAAAAAGAATCAGTCAAAAGTCCATGATATTATTCTAATATTTTCCCATAACGAAGATTGCTTTCCACTCTGCTAAACCCTAACAAACCCATGATCATGAAAAGAAAAATGAACAGAAACCTACTCTGTATACTGCAAAAACCATGGATGGAACTTTACCTTCTCTCATGGTCTCCTCAGGCTTTCTTCCAACAGGTTCTTTGCTAGAATCATTGATCCATGCCTCTAAAGAAGTCACCTCCATGGAAAATCTTCCATTTCTACAGTTCAAAAATGTTTCAACAATGATAAGAAGAATCAAACTTATAGCTTCATTGTTTGAAGAGATTCAAGAAACAAATAGCCCACTTCCACCATCTTCAATCTTGTGTCTCACTGAGCTTTTTTCAGTGATCAGAAGAGTGAAGCTTTTGATACAGAGATGCAAGGAGGGTGGGGCTCTTTGGAACCTTGTGCAGACAGAGTTTGTTTCAAATCAGTTTCATGCAATGGTCAAAGAGATGGGGAGGGCACTTGATATTTTACCTCTCAGCTTGCTGAAAATAACTGCAGACACCAGAGAGCAAGTTGAGCTTCTTCACAAGCAGGCAAAAAGGGCTGAATTGTTTGTTGATCCCAGAGAGCTTCAAAGAAGGGAGGAGCTTCTCCAGTTGATGGCTACTAACAGTGAGAAGAACAGCAAGAACAAGGGATTCATCGATTTTCAGAGAGTGAAAGAGATCTTAAGCAGCATTGGTTTGAAAACCCCATTTGATTATGATGAAGAGATTTCAAAACTAGAGGCAGAAGCTGAAAAGCAGGCAGGCACAGGGGGGCTCATCGTGGTTTGCAATATCAACAATCTCGCATCACTGGTTTCATTATCCAAGGTTTTCAGTGAAGAAGAAACTCAAAAAATCCAGGTGGACCTCAAACAGCGCAGTGCATCAGGTAGGTATCACGATCATGCCTCATCTTCTCAGTCAATGGTTTTCGACATTCCTGATGAATTTCGCTGCCCGATTTCGCTGGACTTGATGAGGGACCCCGTAATTGTCGCATCAGGGCACACATATGATCGAAACTCGATTGCCCAGTGGATCAATTCAGGACATCACACATGCCCAAAAAGTGGGCAGAGGCTAATACACATGGCCCTTATACCCAACTATGCTCTGAAGTGTCTAATTCATCAGTGGTGTCAGGAGAACAATATCCCAATAATGAAATCCCCATCATCTTCTTCAACATTGGAGAGGAGCAGTAGCAAGAGAAAATTATGTGATAATGCCGTAGATCACATTTCTGCAACAAAAGCGGCAGTGGATGCTGTCAAAATGACAGCTGAATTTCTTGTAGGGAAATTAGCAACAGGGTCACTAGATATCCAGAGACAGGCAGCATATGAGCTTCGGTTACTAGCAAAATCTGGTATGGATAATCGACGGATAATCGCCGAGGCCGGAGCTATTCCATTTCTGGTGACTCTGCTAGGTTCACACGACCCAAGGATTCAGGAAAATGCGGTCACTGCCCTTCTCAACCTTTCTATATTGGACAACAACAAGATATTGCTAATGGCTGCAGGAGCAATTGACCACATAATAGATGTCTTACAATCAGGAAAAACAATGGAGGCAAGAGAAAATGCAGCAGCAGCAATCTTCAGCTTGTCTATGGTAGATGATTACAAGTTCATCATCGGAGCACGTCCCCAAGCCATTCCAGCCTTGGTTGGGCTCCTAGAAGAAGGAACCACAGCAGGGAAGAGGGATGCAGCAACAGCACTTCTCAACCTGGCAGTATATAGTGCTAATAAGGCTAGTGTAGTGCTTTCTGGGGCTGTGCCTTTGCTCATTGATCTATTGATGGATGACAAGGCGGGTATCACTGATGATGCCTTGGCACTGCTTTCCCTGCTTCTTGGGTGCTCTGAAGGATTGGAGGAGATACGGAAGAGTAGGGCATTGGTCCCTCTTCTTATTGATCTCCTGAGATTTGGATCTCCAAAGGGGAAGGAGAATTCGATTACTCTATTGTTGGGGCTCTGCAAAGATGGAGGGGAGGATGTTGCAAGAAGACTACTGATAAATCCAACAAGCATTTCATCTCTCCAAAGCTTGGCTGCTGATGGGTCTCTCAAAGCTCGAAGGAAGGCTGATGCCCTGCTTAGATTACTCAATCGGTGCTGCTCTCAATCTCGTAATCCTGTTGGATAAAAGAGTATAATAAGATTGTAAAGTGGAAGTGTAAATTTGTGGAAATTACATGAATGAAAATGATGTTGATTTGTTACAGCAATCAGCACTTCCGACCTTCATCTTCATCATTGGGTATGTGGTGGTTGGTACTTACTAATTAAAATAATATCCCTTGGGAGTGGCCGGGTTGGACCATCTGAGAAGGCAAAAAGTACACAGATATAGCAGGAAACAGAAAATGAGGGCGAATGAAAGTGTAACAAGATCAAGAAGAGTAATAAGTTGTAAAGAAATTAAAAGATCCAGAGTCAAACCACAGCACTTTCAAATTACCAAAGTCCAAAGCAAAAATAAGAACATTGAAGAATTACAAACTGTAGGATCTATCTCGAGGACTTTGCTACCATTGAAAGCTGATCCACTCTCAAAGGAAAGAAGAAAATAAACGAAAAATAAAACCAAACACTCCCTTGCCATACAATCAGCATGGATAAAACATTAAACATTGATAATCTTGTAGGTAACACCTCTTCTGGTTGCCCTTTTCTTCCACATAAATGGAGCCTATGATTCCAAATATTATCAACAACCGGTTAACACATACCAAATATTGACCACCTAAGCCAATGGCTGATTGTACAACCTAGACTCAATTCCCATCAAGTATAGCAGGCCAACGTAAAAGCTGAACTCTAGAATGCAGGTATTTCACCCTAGAAGTGAAATAGCATAAAGTCCAACCAAACTATGGATGTAGCCCCTAATTTTTTCACAAGGTGTGTTCAAGATGATAATATACATGAAAAAAGATCCATTATATTCGTGCTGAAAGGAAATCTGCAAGGAATCTTAGTATATAAAACTTCTATTCTTGAGCTCAAACATTGTTTTACATAGCATTTACATTCAAGATACAAGACTCACTTTGTCATACTAGGCACTCATTCAAACTTTTATTACAAAAAAGATCCGACAGAAAGAGGTTCAACTTCTGTTCAACCAAGCTGCACAAAAAGGAGTTGATAATCTGAATGTGAACATGGAGTCCATTTTGTGAACCTCGATTCACCTAATGAGACGTTAGGGATCTACAACTCCACCAATTCCAGTTGAATATGTGTGCCATTTATATTGTACATCCAAAACCAGCTTCCGCTATCCATCAATTTCTTTTCAATAGGGTGAAATTGGATTGATAAACCTGAATTGAAAACAGAGAACTACAGATAAGTGGACCAATTTGATGCTTTCAGCAGAAACATCCGTGGAGGTTAGAATTTAGAAATTCAGAGAGAGAGAGAGAGCGAGCTGGCAAATCTCCATTGACAGGAAAGAGAAAACAATAGGTTCCTCAAGAACAAATTAATATTAAAACCAAACATCAAGGCCAATCACATAAGAAATGTAAATAACAATCACAGAAAAACACTTAGTAACGCAATATGGTACCAAGGAATCGTTTCAAACCCAATTTCCACAAAAAACATTGCCAGTAGATTTCATTCTGACCACAGCAGACTGAAACAGCAAGGATTCAAGTGTCTAAAAGTTTATGCAGGATAGAAAACCAACTACCACTTGATTGTCAAGATATAATTTGAGATACCTTTAGATACATCGGAAAAAAAAAGAGAAAAAAAAAACGAAGGAAGGGTAATGGAAATACTCGTACAAGAATGGAAACAACATTTCAAACCTAACGCATCCAATGACCTTAAAAAACACGACTTGATGTCAATAAGTAAAAGTAAAATCCCGAAGCCTTGGAGGATATCGTACCGACAGCAGCCAGATGGGCAGTTACGTGGTTTATAAAAGGAACAAATAAGTTCAAATAGGTAATCAGCCCAACAAAAATACACATTTGAACACCAAATACTATATGATTTATTCATGAAGATATTTTGAGTAAAAAACAAGCAATAATAAAACTTATCAGTATAATTTAACATGAGAATCAGCAGAGGTGAGGAAATGCCTAACGTTGAAGTTGATGCAAAAAATTGGATGGCATCCCTGACATTATTATTTTAGGCATTACAATCCAGAACATTATCAGATGGGGGAATCTCAAAATTCATCAATTGCATGATTGCCACATAGACAGGGTTAGGGTTTTAAAGAAAAGAAGAGAAAACAAAAATGAAATAGCTGATGAGTTTTATTTAATTCGCCTAAATTGGAAATCTCAACAGACCCCATATCTTTTTAGGTCTCAACAATATCTGGGGATGCTCCGATCAATCATTTTTTGGTAGTTGGTAGACAAAACACTGTAGTAATTTCTTATAAATCCACACTGGCAAAGCATACCATGGAGGTCCTGCTATCCATAATTATTATGCTTCGCAGCATGCCCCCGATGAGAGAGTTCTTCAATACAGTGCAAAAATAAGACAAGAAAAGGGAGAAAAAAAAACATCGACAACATGTTCATGCATCCATGAGAATGACTGATAGTCTACAGTAAACCATATGTTAATACGAAAATCAATTTGATTTGTATTCTGAGTGAAGCCTCGATATTAATTTTTTATAAACCTGAACTTCCTGTTGTAATCTTCAACTTGTAGCCATCTGGGACATCAAACACGTGGTTACCCTGCATAAGAAAACAGGCAGCAAAAGCACAGATTTATTATTCTTTGACATTAGGGCCAAATGTATTAGAAGTTAAATTTTTCCATATACAATTACAAAGCTAGAATATCAGGGCAAGGGTTCCCTTTTAGAAAAGTGAACCATTTATCAACCAGGTACCATCAGTAAAACTATTGTCTCCTGAAAAAATTACTCCAAATTTGCAATTACTCATTTAATATTAGGCTGAAATTTAAACTTTTTAAACTGCAGCAATAAGTTCTGTAGGATCAATTATTGCAGTTCTGATTTACTCATGATAATTTGGGTTACCTTCCATAATGCCATAACAACAAACCTATGCTAGGATGCCTATTATTAGTGATCTCTTGTCAATCTAACCTGCAAGATAACATCCACTGCTTCAAATTCAGCATTTCCGTGCAGTATGACCTTTAGTGCCTCAAAACGCTGAACCCCATGCTTCCAATAAATGTTGTCTCCAGAATTCCAATCAATTCCGTCGTTCCATATTTTGACATTCTCTAACTTGCACCTTCCACACCTATATGAATGAACTCCATTTTAAACTTAAATATCTCAATAGCTATTTTGCATAAGTTCACAAAAACTGGAACATTGTATTACCTTCGCCCATATTGTAGTATAGGTTCCCCTTTTNAACCTTCCACACCTATATGAATGAACTCCATTTTAAACTTAAATATCTCAATAGCTATTTTGCATAAGTTCAAGTGTTTTTGACCTTGTAACATAATGGAAGCGGGTATAACATCATATCCAACCCCTTTTTCATCAATCGTAGTTGAGCCCATGATGTTTTCAGCCACAATGATTAAACTCCCATCAAGCTGGAAATAAAGGAACCAAATCAGTTCTAAGAGCAAAACGATGGCAATAGTTTCATCAATTACTTTCAGAAAAATCGAACCTCAACATTCCTCCACAAGAACTCCGCGACCTCTATTTGTAACTCAGAACCCTTGGAAATGGAACCTCCATGAAACTGAGAAAAGTGAACAGATATTACACACTTCTATGATAACTAACGACTATGATGTCAATAGCCCCATTGATAATTACAGAACTAATTAAGTAAGCAAATAAACCATTTTACAAGTCAATAGAAATGTGTATACAAACACAAGAACATGCACAACCAGCTACTGCAAGGAATTTTATTTTCTTCAGCAAATCTCATTCTTAAACATCCTTGTACAACTAAATATACTTAGACTACTGAAAAATTGGTGAGTACTGTTTTCAATCCCCTATAATTTCAAAGCAATATCCACAAAATATAGATGAGAATAAGACAAAACAAAAAAAAAATCCGTTTTACCAAAAAATTCTCACAGCCACAAAACTGAGCTTACTTTTTGTCTAGTGACTTCCCAAAGTGGGCCCAGAGCAGGATGAAGAAGGATGAGAAATGGGGGTCCAGAATCAACATATTTTTCGTTGCCTTCAATCTGCAGAATAGATTGAAAAAGAATATAATAATCAACGATCAATCAAAAAAATTCCATCAAAAAATCTAAAGATTGCAGACGTAATATATTAAATGAGAACAAAGAAGTTTGGTAACTAAGAATATTTCAACAATATTTATCTAAAATCAATGGAAAGAAGTCCGGGATTGACATGGCAGGAGATTTATGATATACCTTGGGAATTTTTATATCACAATGAGAAAGAAGATCATAGGCATTGCGCATGATATCCAACAATGAACCATCTGGAGTCTGCACATGCAAAATTTTCATAAAGATAATCATTATCAGGGTCATATAGTGATCTATTTTACAAATTGCATGGATTAACTTTGATTCCGATCTGAACTTTAGGAATCTAAGCAGGATATAAAACCAGAAAATTCAGATTAGTAGTCAACTGCTTTTCTATTACAGTTTTGGTCACAGCTATGAAGCAGACACTCTCTAAAAACTGATGTATCCATGTCAGACACCGACAATCTTCGGACACTCCTGGACATGTGTCCAATACGCTTTTATCAGTACCCATAATTAAATNCAGACACTCCCTAAAAACTGATGTATCCATGTCAGACACCGACAATCTTCGGACACTCCTGGACATGNGACACTCTCTAAAAACTGATGTATCCATGTCAGACACCGACAATCTTCGGACACTCCTGGACATGTGTCCAATACGCTTTTATCAGTACCCATAATTAAATGATAAAATTTTAATTTTGAACACATATCCNTGTGTCCAATACGCTTTTATCAGTACCCATAATTAAATGATAAAATTTTAATTTTGAACACATATCCGACACTTCTTTAGAACGTATCTACTACTAAACAATAAACATGTGTTGAAATATGATTAACAAAGTTTAAAATTTTGATAACATATAATTAGTAACACTAAACATGTTAAAATTGTATTCCAAATATAATAATAAAAATAAAATATGCATAAATGTTTAAAAAAATAGGAATTGAGAAAACGAGAGTAATTATTTAAATTATATATTGAATACACATTGTCTACAAAAAAAAATAAAAAAAAATTGATGCTTATTGACTATTATGATGATACTTTAGTCCACAGATGACTACACATAAGATTTACTTCTAATAAAATAAAGAATATTTTATGAGTTGTATATCATTATCACTATATTTGCGATAAATTATATAATATTATATATAAAATATAATTTTTTGTAGCGTATCTCTAACGTATCCATGTCCTACTTTTTTCGGAAATATCATGTCCGTGTCCGTGTCCGTCTCCATGCTTCTAAGGATCAGAAGTAAGGTGGCCAATAGGTACTTTTTCTAGTCTTAACTACATGTTTACAAGTGTACTAATTTATTTTTATGATTTCTCATTTCTTTTTCTGCTAACAGGGAGGGCATCTAGTCCTCTAGGAGGACCAGCCTGGTCCTCCCATGCAGAGTGCTATCCTCCCATCCAACATTCATCAAGTAATTACTAGATGACCCTATGGTAGGCTTGACCTCCAGATCCCCATTTTTAAGTGGGCTCCTGATCATTTGTCTACCCTTAGCATTGCTTTTGTAATTTGGTATGAGTTCACTTCACACAGCCTTATTGAAATTGGAAAAAGCATCACCTATTCTGAGGCTGACCATTTCTAAGCCAACCTAAAACAAACAATCGCTTTCAGTATACTGACCTTCGCCATCAATCCTATCAGTTTAAGTTCCTTAATAATCAACTTATAAAATGTGTATGCCCATCAGTACAACAACAATGACGAAGTGCAGTTAGACAAATGTAGTTAATCCAGCAGAAGGAACAAAAAAGAGGGAGAGCAACTAATTTAAAATAGGAATAGATATCCTAAGTTAAGATGCAAAAAATCCATGTTCTTATTGAAGATATGGCTTTTGATAAGGTGCATTTATCAAACAGCGTAATGTATGCTGATATCCCTAAAGGATGCATAACAAATTCTCATAACAATTGGACCTGATGTAAAGAATTGTCTGAATGTCGTCTTTTCTTTTTAGCAGATGATGTAACCTTCCTTCGCTCATTATAAACAATAAAGGTATCAAGCATACCTGCGATTATGTAGCCAATACAGCTTGCATTACAGTAGGACATATGCATACGAAAAATGTGTTACAAACTTTGAACTGAAAAGTAGATGNCATACCTGCGATTATGTAGCCAATACAGCTTGCATTACAGTAGGACATATGCATACGAAAAATGTGTTACAAACTTTGAACTGAAAAGTAGATGCTGCCACACCTTCTACGCCTTTATAACCTCGAGATGAATATGCATTCAAAAAATTGTCAGCAATATTTTGCATTGTGCATTCCAGACGACCACCATGGATACTAGCACAAGTAAAGTGAGATTAGGATTCAGTAGACTGTCCTGATAAGTAAGAACTAACATAGTAAAACTATCACGAATGAAAGAGAAAAATATCCTGGCAGAAATATGAGTAACTAAGAGTTATTCCACCCACATGGTTTTTAGTAAACAAAAATCTTGGACAAGTCTACCAAAATAAATGGACAGCTGATAAAAACAATTAAGGCAAAGAAGATCAAGTTCATCCGACAATATCATACATCCAACTTGGGGTACTGCATAAGCAACTATATACCTCCATCTTTATATCATACATGCTCATCAAGTTATAATCCAAACCTGAACTGTACAAATTACACAGAAGGCATGTGTGTAGGCCTTTTCCTCATAAAATGTTAAAAAAATGTTCAGAATGATTTTCCAAAACCTTTGGAACAATTCTTTACCGTTTTGCAGGCCCAATTGTAGTAGTCTGATGACCTAGTTTTTTGAAAAGAAAAAACTGTCTGGGTACAACATCATACATTCAGTGTATAGATAAGTTCCACTGCAAATTATAAGAATCATAAAATTAAAGACAAGAACAATGCATTTCTTTAAACGTTTTCTACACACTCTTAGTAAATCATCGATCATGATAATGCACTTAAACATATACAAAACATGGCATGCAGAACATGTAAGCATTTTGAGCCACTGGTGGTATGTACGTCAGACCTATGTTTTATTTGCTACACATAGATCTAGACAATGAAACACGAAAGAACACCATCACAAGCCAGATGAACAAAAAGAAGAAAGTGATCTGCAAAACAGCAACCACATGCAAGAAGGATGTACCAGTGTTGGATTCCAAACTGGTCCATGTATGTAATTGGCTTCTTTACATTAAGCACCATTCCTGGCAAACTGGTCTCATCTTTACATGATCCAATAAGCTCTGCAGAATGTAAATCCACATATAGGATGTTTGTGTTGGCGGGGAACTCTGCGTGCATACTTAACACAAAGAACAATGTTAACGTTGGAGACATTACAGAATCTTCAGCAAACATGAATCAGTAAAAAAAAAATCATAATGGATGACTACAAGGATCAAAGAAATCCATATAAAGGAGTGTAATAACCAGCTAGGAAATAAGATTGTGTCTACTCAAAGATGAACATGTCTCAGTTTTACATCTAGTAAATAACAGCTGCAACAAAAACTTGATAACCCACTTCCTTTTCTTCCATTTCATAGGTAAGAAACCAGGTAAATCGGAGAACCAACATTAACAAAATAAGTAGGTGCACCTGGGAAATCCATTGATTTTCCTGACTCTTTCTGTACAAAAATTCCTCTCCTAAAATGTGATGCAACCAGGATTTTGAAGTATACTAGAGTTTGGTACACCATACTAAAGAAGAACTTTGAGCACCTTATTATAGACACACGAGCATCCATGGAAACAATAATTACTGCACAAGAAAGTGTGTTCAGGGAGAGAGTAAAAAGGAATGAATTCTCAATATTTCATTTGTTGCATTCAAAAAAGATATAAGATTTTTTGGTAGGATTTAATAAGTATTCTTTTAGTAGTTTACACTCACTCATTTTACCATTTTGGTTTGAACTAAATGGGGATGCATACATTCAACCAAATAAGAGCTTCAAAGTATATTTATTGAGTGTTGTACTTTGTTTATATGGATATGTTTGTGTAATTTATTCCTCAGCTAGTTGACCATTAATCATGCAGCGATTGCAGGTCAACCCCATCTACCATCTGATGATGATCTTGATCTCATTGTTTTAATTAAAGATCTCTTTGGAACATGAAAAATAATAAAAACAAAAAACTGGATCAAAAGAAGAATACAAGCTGCATAAACACCGTATTTTTAGCTTAATATCTCTGTTAGATTCTCCGGTCAAAATACGGGAAAACTCCATTCAATTCTCGATCGAAACTGAGTTTTAAAAATTCTCGCCGGAACATTCGACTTAAGAAAATGANCATAGATCTAGACAATGAAACACGAAAGAACACCATCACAAGCCAGATGAACAAAAAGAAGAAAGTGATCTGCAAAACAGCAACCACATGCAAGAAGGATGTACCAGTGTTGGATTCCAAACTGGTCCATGTATGTAATTGGCTTCTTTACATTAAGCACCATTCCTGGCAAACTGGTCTCATCTTTACATGATCCAATAAGCTCTGCAGAATGTAAATCCACATATAGGATGTTTGTGTTGGCGGGGAACTCTGCGTGCATACTTAACACAAAGAACAATGTTAACGTTGGAGACATTACAGAATCTTCAGCAAACATGAATCAGAAAAAAAAAAATCATAATGGATGACTACAAGGATCAAAGAAATCCATATAAAGGAGTGTAATAACCAGCTAGGAAATAAGATTGTGTCTACTCAAAGATGAACATGTCTCAGTTTTACATCTAGTAAATAACAGCTGCAACAAAAACTTGATAACCCACTTCCTTTTCTTCCATTTCATAGGTAAGAAACCAGGTAAATCGGAGAACCAACATTAACAAAATAAGTAGGTGCACCTGGGAAATCCATTGATTTTCCTGACTCTTTCTGTACAAAAATTCCTCTCCTAAAATGTGATGCAACCAGGATTTTGAAGTATACTAGAGTTTGGTACACCATACTAAAGAAGAACTTTGAGCACCCTATTATAGACACACGAGCATCCATGGAAACAATAATTACTGCCCAAGAAAGTGTGTTCAGGGAGAGAGTAAAAAGGAATGAATTCTCAATATTTCATTTGTTGCATTCAAAAAAGATATAAGATTTTTTGGTAGGATTTAATAAGTATTCTTTTAGTAGTTTACACTCACTCATTTTACCATTTTGGTTTGAACTAAATGGGGATGCATACATTCAACCAAATAAGAGCTTCAAAGTATATTTATTGAGTGTTGTACTTTGTTTATATGGATATGTTTGTGTAATTTATTCCTCAGCTAGTTGACCATTAATCATGCAGCGATTGCAGGTCAACCCCATCTACCATCTGATGATGATCTTGATCTCATTGTTTTAATTAAAGATCTCTTTGGAACATGAAAAATAATAAAAACAAAAAACTGGATCAAAAGAAGAATACAAGCTGCATAAACACCGTATTTTTAGCTTAATATCTCTGTTAGATTCTCCGGTCAAAATACGGGAAAACTCCATTCAATTCTCGATCGAAACTGAGTTTTAAAAATTCTCGCCGGAACATTCGACTTAAGAAAATGAAGCAAAACCTCAGCCCAAGCTTTGCAGACGGGAGACCATTATGGTATTCATGATTTCACGTAGACAATGANGTTACCGCCAATATTCAACAGTACCATCAGAATTTGGAGCAGAATGCTACCTTTTGATGACGCAATCCAATCCCCGCCAACGCCAACATGGTCAAATCTGTAGCAGCCACCACATTACTGCGAAGTCATGAATGTTAAAATACACGCTAAAACTAAAAGAGAACCACTAAATCAATTCTTTAGATACAAGAAGAAAAGAAATATGTGGAAATCTTAGGTATATTGCTGCAGCTAACCTGACTTGTCGAACAGTTGCCCCTTTTCTTCCATGNTTTTAGTCCAACTTTCTGTGAGATTGTTAGAAACTATTATAGGAAAAAGATAGCTAAAGATACTATATTTGCAGTTACAGCAATGTGCAGAAATGGCAAAAGTACCCGTGCTCAATATTTTGTTCATTAAAGCACGAAGGATGTCAAAATACCTATTAGAAGAAAGAGGACCATCAGTGATTCCAAACTTATCAAACTCCGTGTACTCAATGCATGACAGACCATACGCCCACTTCCCATCAAAATTCTTCTCAAATAGAACATTTATGCCTTCTGTAGCCCCGGAGTTCCTCTTACATGATGCAAACCCCAGCTTCTGTAAAATTCGCAGTTAGCAATCAAAGCACAATAGGTTTGTATGATCACTTCAAAAACTCCAATATAAGCAATTAAACTGTACTGATGTTAAGATATGGCACACCTATATTCTTTATTTGTCTTTACTAATATTCACAAAACCGCATCTTTGCTCCTAGGAAATATTGGCATTGTTTCCTTTTTCTTCAATGATTGCTATCAAGAAGGGAGCAAATGCATCCATGTAGGATGCAGTTACTTTTTAGTCTTTATTTTTTATATTCAATATATGCAAACCAGTATACCAAGTGGGACTTAAACACTGCCCACCCAAGCCAACAGCAGGTATCATGCCAGTTCGAAGGCAGATGCATATTCTTTTGTTTACCAAAGGATAAATCCCCAGAAGAGTCGGTTACCGCCAATATTCAACAGTACCATCAGAATTTGGAGCAGAATGCTACCTTTTGATGATGCAATCCAATCCCCGCCAACGCCAACATGGTCAAATCTGTAGCAGCCACCACATTACTGCGAAGTCATGAATGTTAAAATACACGCTAAAACTAAAAGAGAACCACCAAATCAATTCTTTAGATACAAGAAGAAAAAAAATATGTGGAAATCTTAGGTATATTGCTGCAGCTAACCTGACTTGTCGAACAGTTGCCCCTTTTCTTCCACGATCACGAAACCATTGGAAAATGCCTTTATCGTAGGCCAGTTTCCATATCACTCCATGACCACCAGGCTTGCATACAGGAATGAATGGTCTGGTGACCAACCATTGGCCATCCTCTGCACTAACAGCAGGAACAAGAGGCTGGAAATTTACAAATGAAGTTACAAAATGCACGACTACATTCATATGATCAAGATCAAGAACCAATCCAAAGAGATGTAATGATAGAACCATCATTGATGTTTTTATACCAAACCTGTTCGAAAAATCGGAAATTTGACCGACTTCTTCCGAACCATTTGAAGCTTTCACAAAGAGATGTTATACGTTCATGGTTGTTCTTTGACGAACTTGTCATTATTGCAACAGGAGTGATGCATTGCCTTCCATACAACTTGAAATACAGGAACTCTCTAGCCTTGCAGTAGTTCAAGAATTCTATTATTTTCATGTCTTTTTTTGGGTAAATTATTATTTTCATGTCAATACATATATATATATATAAGCGCACATTTACTATTTAGGTGTGTATTTATCAGAGCGTGGCTGCTTATTGTCAAGCATCAAAGGCATAAACAAAGTCTCAAAGCTTGACAAACAGAGATCTTATACCTGAAGATCTCTTATAAGACCTTCCAATAAGGTCCGTCCACAATAAGGAAGCATTGCAGCAGGAAGAGAGTCACCTGTAACAGCGTCAACCAGGTCAAGCCTGTCTGCAGAACCTCCAAGGGGGTATATTTCTCCTAGGTCTGACAAACCCTGAAAAAGAGTTAACGTTATATGATTTCAAATAATGTTGCCACATTTTTTCATGTTCAAACAACATGTTTTATGCACTAACCTCAATTCCCCATAGAGCTGCTTGAGAAGCATATTCTGTGTCTTGAGAAAGGTCAACTACATTTGGAGGATGAATTTCTAAAAATTGGTATTCCATTGTTTTATTTATGCTCTGGGACCAGTTTATTGTCTGCCTTTCATATTTTGACTGAGCAAGAAGGTCTAGTACCATTATCTGATATCTGCAACCAGCATGATGCTGTTTGAGTTAATCATATACATAATTTGACTTCAAATTACTTTGGGGTTGATAGTTGAAACAGTGGGAAAATCACAAAGCAGTATACAAGAAAGAAGGCAACTGCAAATATTCTCAATATATGAAATGTTTTCAACATGAACTGCGTTACTTGGGTCTCTCCCTGATTCTTGACTCAAAGTAAATTCTCTACAACAAAAAATGGTAAAGCCAGCTATTGTAAGGATCTAAATTTTAAACAATCAATTGTCAACAAGGAAAAAAAATAGTGGAGTCCACGACAAGATGGACAGTTATGAGAAAATCCAAAATTTCACTTTATCAAAAATGTATTCAACCGCAACTTGAAGCAGCATTGGGGTTAATGCCAGTAACTTGCCAGTTGGACATTAAATCCAATTCCACTCATTGCACGCTTAAATAATGCAGGATGGCAGCTTAGGATTATTATAGATATATATATATCTCAAGAATCAACAAGCAGCCAATATCACAACTACTATGCAATCATTAGAACTCAGAATGCTTTATACTTAATGCAATCAGTCCAGGAACAAAAGGTCACCAATTGCAGTTTATCAAATTGAGCTCAATATTTCAATCTTACTAAAACATTCAAACAACCAATGATTAACTTAAACACATGAGAATTACTGACCCAATGATCCCTCCAATGCAGTCATAGAATTGTTCAATCTCTCCCAGAGTCTTCAACAGTGACCTCAATGCCCCAAACTCTTCCTCTCCAAGCCTCACGTTAACCTTCTTCTCCAATTTTCCATTACCACCACTCACATCCCACTTCTCAATCATTTCGGCCAACGAGTAAAGCGCGCTCTTCAAAGAACCTTTCGCCGCACTCTCAAACTCCCCTTCAACCTCATCCTCAACCAAACCAAGAACATGCCCTTGGCCGGCAGCTATCAAGCACTTCAGCAAAAAAAATGCATACTCATCCAAATTCAAAGACTCTAAAGCCCTAGAAAACCCATCTTTATGAGAATTGAAGACTAGCTTCACTCTTGAATCATTTTCAATTACTTGCGTTTTTTGTTCTAATGTCTCTGCATTAGAGAGCATTGATCGTAGAGCTTGAAGCCGTGCGATTTCTTGGCGGAAATCGAAGTCTGGAGCTGGTGGGGCGTACTCTAACGGGGCCGTGGAGACGCGAGTTAAGCGATAACATGGCTGTAACGATTGAGACTGTAGTGTTGAGGAAAATAGAGAGGAAGACAGAAATTTGAGAGGCTTTACCGAGGGTTGGAGTGATTTATGAGAGTTGTAGAAAAAGAGAGAGAGTGAAGTTTTGGAGTTGAAGGTGAATAGACTCTGGTGGTTTTGGTTTAGTGTTGGAGTTGCTCGCGCCATTACTGTCTCTCTCTCTGTGTCTGTGTGTGCGTTAGAGAGAGAGACATGGAATAGGAAAGAAGGTAATGAGAGAGGGAGGTAGGATAAGTTTAGATTCCGGAAGTATATACCGAGGTAAGAGAGACAGAGCGAGAGAGAGAGATGAAACGGTCGATTTGTGGGTGTCCTGTAGTGGAGGGTTGTTCTCTAAAACCTCATCTTCATGTTCATGTGTTTTGAATTCGATTGGTTGGTTTTGTTTTTTTCCCCTATGTCCTTGCCGGTCTTGGCTATGATTGATTAACTATCATTTATACCTGCCTTGTTTTAATAAGAAAATAATATATATTAATTATTAATTATTAGTAATTATTATTTATTTATTGCTATTAAAATTTTAATTGGTTTAGAGGTCCCAGTCCACATGAGATTGTAGCCCATAAGTAATCCTTAGTTTATTACTAGATTAGATTGGTTTGTTTTAAACGACGTCTTGAAGTCTTCTTTAATTAGTTGTAGTCATCGGCAGAATATTGTTTTTTCATTTTATCATTTAGTTTTAACGTTGGGCCTTCCGCGCCTTCTTTCTTTGTTCGTTTCTTTGGTTTTATTCTTATTCATTATTTTTTTGATTAATTCTCGTGTGTTTGATATTATTTTTTGAGTTTTTAATATTTTTGAAAACTTATATATGATATCAGAGCCAGATTTTAAAGATTACGAATAAAAACGAGTTCGCTCAATGTCTAATTGAAAATTTTGACGCGAAATCAAATTTTTAACATTCGAGAACATAGATTTAAACCAACAAAAACTCATTATAATTTCAATTGGCCCAAGTACTTTGTCTCGGAAGACTAGTCTATTACTAGCACACACGTGGTATCTCCTTCTTAGAAAGGGAATCGTGGAATATAATTATCGGAGTGCACATCGCCAGCTTTATAAAATTACCTCGTGCCATTACGATAATGAGACCGACGTCACGGAATCACTTCACTCTCCGTAATGGTGCCTCAATCAAGGCTCCCTTGGAGAAAATATTGAGTGCTTATTAGGTACCAGCATGACATGCATATGTGGTACGAAACACCAATCAAGAGTGGTCATGCCAATGAAATATCAGGCAATCTCAAAAAGATGTCACGTCATCTATATAAGTTAACCCGCTTAACGGAAGTAAGTTTTTGTGGTTTCTCTCTCCTTTACCTTTTCTCACTCTACCGTATACCTATCATTTCATCTGTCATTCATTCATTGCTTCTCCAATTTTTTTTTTATCTTTGAATTTTCTTATAACTATTCAAACTTTACTCACTCAACAATCAGAAATTAAAATTTGAACCCCCGCCTAAATGTTTGAATTTTGGATTTCGACTATAAATAAGTAAAATAGAGCGCTCAAGATTTTTTTGAGATGATTTTCATTGTTTCTCTCTTATTTCTGTCTTACACTAGAGCTTCACGGTTCATACTTCCATCCATGTTCTAAGTGTGTTTCCATGTATATTTTGATGGTTTCATCATGATCAATGGTTGCTGGAGTTTGGAGTTTTAAGTTTTGAGTTGCAGTACTCTTGATGCTTCAATGGTGTCGAGGCAAACGAAGACCTGTGTAATACAACTACTCTTGCTGAAGTTTGGAGTTTTTTCGTCCTATTCTTTCATTTCTTCTCATTTTCTCCCTTTCTCTTCTCTTCCCTTTTTTCCCTACTCTTCCTCACCATTACGCATTTTGCACCCATTTCTATCCATACTTATAGTGAATCCATTGAGGCAAAAATGAATTTGCTCCTGTGTAAGGAAGGGAAACTTAAATTGGACTTTGTTCATCAAGTGTTCGATGAATTGTCTATGTAAAACTTGCTCTGTTTTGGACATTTGACATGCTGCCCACGGTGAAGCTGGTTTTGTTATGTTGGGAGACATTGAGTTGCTGTCTCTTAGAAGGATTGAATTGCAAATTGTATGCTTATTTTGGAACTCATTCAATTTTGTAAATGGTAAAACAATGAAAAAGAAAATATTACTTTTGCTTTTGGATTAATATGATGCCAAATTGAACATGCTTGTAGAACTTTTATGTTTGAACATGTCAAATCTGAACAACATCTCCAATCTCCATTTTTTTTTTCAAACAAATCAACACTTTTTTTTATGTTTAAAAAATCAATTACAAGAAACAACCACTCAAGTGTACAATGAATCAATCAACATTCCTAAGTTTCTTTACACCTTATTGATCATGAAGCAGGAGTAGCTAAGCCTGAGGAGGAAGGGACATTGCCTGTGAAAAATCCAATGAAATGCAAATGCTCCAGAATTTCAAGAATCTGCCCAAGAAGCTGCCAATATTTCCATGCTCGCCTATGCCCCAGTAATATCATTTTCACCATCACCTCAGAATCTGCTTCAATGGGCTGATGCTTTGGGTTATTTAACTCCAACATAGAATACGTTGGTGAGAATTACAAATGCTTCCAACGAGTACAATACATGTCACCCTTTACACCGCACATGTTGAAAGACCATCTAGATGAAGTGATGAACACTTGAATCAAGGAAAAAGTTGCCCCCTAAAAAAATTGAAGAGAAGTACTGGAAACTGAAGCACTAGAGAAAGAAATGACCTAAAAAAAGGAAAGGACTCTAGTGGACCAAAGTCTACTTGGTATTCTTATCACACCCTGTCACCTACAAATACTTTCATTCAATTGAATCAAGTTGATTTATCTAATCAAGATGAATACCAAGTTGTAGAAAATATCATGTATATTTAAATACTTATTTAATTTTAAGCAACATGAAATTAACTCATGAATATCACCGAGCACTCATCATCAAGCTGAAACAAATCTAACAAAAATTTCATGTTTTAAATTTATTCCGCACTGGCAATTTGTCGAATAGTTTGCAAACCAACTTGTTCTTCCAAAACAGAAATGGCATAGAGGGAGGGACAAAGAGATGTAAAATAATCTCTAGCGGACTATCGAAGGGTACAAGAAGGAAGGAGAAAAAGATAGAATGGGAATGGATGATACAGAAGTTCAACAAAGAAAATGAATGAGAGAAATATAAAGACTTACGAAAATCTTGACCAAAGGCAACGGTGGAACCAAATGTTGTGACTGACGATGGGATCGACTGTTGTGGTTGACGGATTGATCAACTAAATTTAAAAATTAAAAATAATCATTAATTTTTTCAAATATCCATTGCACTCACGCACACATGACTTTTTCATGGACCAACACATATACACTAGCCCACACATGCACAAACGTCGGACAAAGACTACACCTGCACACAACACCTGTAAAGGCCAAAAGCAACACACATGCAACACCACACCATCAAGGGCAACACCCAAATGGAAAAATCCAAGAAAACAATACCTGTGTAAAGCAATTTTACTTGCCGGAAAAAATGGTCGTTCGAAAATATTGTTAAAAATGGAGGACGAGAGATGATGCCTTTAGAAAGAGTGAGAGTAAATTTTGAATAGTCATGAGAAAATTCAAAGATAAAGAAACTTTATAGGGAAGCTGACGGATGAAATGATAGATATATAGTAAACTGAGAAAAGGTCAAGGAGAGAGAAACCCAAAAAAATGTTACTCCCATTAGCTAAGTTAACTTTTGTAGATGACATGACATCTTTATGACATTGCTGACATTTCATTGACATGACCACTCTTGATTGGTGTTATGTACCACGTATGCATGTCATGCTGGTACCTGATAAGCACTCAATATTTTTTCCCTTGGAGTCCTTGTGAAATTCTACTCACCTATAAATTTCTGCTTACACATGAGGGCATTACACGAATTACAACACTCTACACACTTTGAGTAATAAGGTTTTTCAGCTACCTTAGCCATTTTTCGTGGAGTAAGTTGCTCACACATAACTACTTAATTTGTGTCTTTTACTGTGTTGAGCATACCTCATCACACATACCACTAAATCTTTGCTTGATTTTTCATAAACACATTTGTGCATGATCAAGAGGAGCAAAAGAGATTTGTAAACTTCTTATTGTACATGATTTTCTTAATTGATTGAGCGTTTAATTTCTAAATTGAATTGATAAATTTTTATTTGGGTTAATTATAAATTATACCCTCAAAGATCAAAAATTTTAATTTATACCCTCAAATATATAAATTTGTATTAGTGAGCACCTAAAACTAACAATCGTCAGTTTGCTATCTAAAATTAAATAGATAAATTACACTTAGATCCCCTCATAATTGCCATTTAATCATTTGAACTCTCACATTTTAAATATTACTCCTACACTTTTTAACTTTTGTGCACGCGTAACACAAAACTCATTATCGTTAATATTTGTTAATATAACCGTTAAAAAATTATAATTTCATATTATCCTTTATTTTGTAGGTCCGTTATATTTTAAAGTTCAAAATCAGCTATCATTTGAATGTCTAATATAATGCAAGTATTCATATAATGTTATTTTTATTCAATGCAATACATCACTTAAACAAAACTATTTAAATACCCAATTGGGGGAAATATTTTTAGTCATATTTAAATTCTCAATGGATACAGGTGTAATATTTCAAATGTAAAGGGTCTAGATGATTAAATGAAAAACATGAGAGGGTTTAGGTGTAATTTATCTATTTAGATTTAAACGGAAAATTATTGGCTATTAGCTTGAGGTGCACATTGATACAAATTTTTATTTTTGAAGGTGTAAATTGAGAATTTTAATTTTTAAGGGTATAAATTAAAATTCGAACAATCTTTTAGGATGTAATTTGATATCAGCCCTTTTTATTTTGCTTGTTAGAATAGTTATGTTTCAATTGTTGGGAGAGAAAAAAATTCGCTAGCTAGGGCGTTCGACGTAAAAATCTTAAAAAAAAAAAAAAAAAACAGAGAGAGAGAGAGAGAGAGTATATGACACAGCAGCCCGTAACTGTTTAATGGGGGCTTGGGCCTGGCCCATTGGTTATACCTTCTACCCTTTTCCTTGGTATTTTGTGTGTGGGCAATCAAAGGGCAGATCTATATAGGGTCAGGGCCCCCCTGTACCTCCCTCTCAATTTTTTTTCTTAATTATACACACACACACACACACACACACATATATATATATATATATATGAGTTTTAGCTATTTTTTTAAATATAATTTATTGTGTCCATCCTTAAAATTTATATTGATTTGTAAATTTGTGTGTTTTTTTGGTTCTAAATTCAAAATTTTAAGGTAAAACTGCTTGTAATTGACTTACAATTCATCTTTAATTTTCTACAACCGATGATTAACTTGCTTCTATTGGATTGCAGTGAAATTATTATGTTTAATTCTTAAATTGATAGCTTGCAATTTTGATATAAAATATGAAACTGGTCAGGTCAATTATAAATAAAAGTTTCACATTTTGATAAGAGTTGTAATTATATATAAATATATATATATATATATATATATATATATATTATATGTATCAACTTTTGATCATTTTTGATTTAATGAGTTTTTATTATGGGATATGATATAATTAATATAAATAGAGCGCTTTACCTTTATAAATTGGGAGAAAAAAATTAAAGTAAGGGCAAATCAAGATAAATCGATGTTCGAGACAAACTTATTTTAAATTTAAACATAATTTATCTACTATTTCTATATATTAGTCATAACCCGTGCCTGAAGGCATGATAAAATATAAAATTCGAACGTTCAAAAAATCGATCCTATTATATTAATTTTTTTAAAAATATATTAACTACAAATTAATTAAATATTAAATAATTAAATATATGATAAAAATGAGTAATGTGATATTTTTAGGGAAGAAATATATAAATGATTAAACATATAATATAAATAAGTGATGTAATTTGACGTTTGAGTCTGACAAAAGGATGATGGATGATATAAGTGATTGATGATGATTTTGAGGAAAAAAATATGACTGAGACAAAATTCAAACACACTCCTATTTTATTATATAGATGTGTGTGGGGGGCAATCAATCCTACAAAGGCAATTCTATGAGACTATATCTACACACCTTCAATAGGGTTTGATTTAATCTAATTTTTTTAGTGAACCAAGTGTAATTGTCGGGTAACTTTAATATAACCATTTAGTAAAAAGTAGTATTGCTTGGTAACAAATTTTTTTTTTCATTTAGAAATTATTTTGACCTTAGGCTTTAATATTTTGTGGATAGCTTAAATTTTTATTGAATTTAGATTTATGATCTATACTATTTTATTAATGCTAGCAATGCATCACATGCGTTGCACGTGAAAGTTTTCATTAAAATATTTAATAAAATACATAAAAATTTAAAGGTTAATAGCATTTTTGATCCATTAAATATATATTTTTTATCATTTTAGTCCTCATTAAATTAATTTTGTCAATTTAATCCCTATATTATTCAATTCATGTTATTTTAGTCTTTACATAAACAAATCGTTAAATTTTTTATGGAATGATCACGTGTTGGGCACATGATATCATTTGAAAAAATGTCATGTGATCACTTCTGCCAAAAAACTTGACGGATTATTTGATTAAGGACCAATGTGACACATATTGAATATTTTAGGAACCAAATTGATAAAGTTGATACAGTGAGGATTAAATTGACAAAAAATGTATATTTTAGAGACTAAAAGTGTTATTAATCCCAAATTTAATTATATAACTAAATTAGATATTATCTCATGTTTATCATACTTGAATTACTTGTATGGTGGATAAAGAAAAAAAGATATATATATATATATATTGATTTTTTGGCGCTGGAGATAATATTATATAAATGAAGTTATCGATGTGTATTAATATTGAGATTTTGGAAAAAAGAATCATTTTTTTTATATATATCTTATTAAGAGTAACATGATCATTTAAAAATTTTGTAAAAATTAAAAATTTACATGATATTCTAGATGTTAGTTTGTTATCTAAGTATAGAGGGATATCTACATATTTAAATATAGGACATGTCAATCTTTATAATTTTTTATACAGGCAAAATAGTGAATCTTATGTAACGTACTTTTATTTGCAGTATAAATATATAAAATATAGGTTGTGTCCGCTCTTAAGCCAGTTTTTGGGCTCTGCCCGTGGTGGGCATGTCATATGTAACGTGACTAAAATCTTTACTCCAAAGTCGGATTGTTGCGTGGTTCTAGATATCTTAAATTCTACAACTATCATCGTATTTTGTTGAACGAGATTGAGATTGTGATTGCTTTTTCTAATCTAATTCCTCAGAGTTGAATGATCTCGAAATAGGCTTCAAGACGTAGCAAAATTAAGTTGGCAAATATGGATATATATCACACTCTTAAACTCAGGTCATTGCCTTTCACTAGTCCTTACTTATATGCCAATTGAAGTCGCATTGCCAACGACCCTCGTTTACTCTATTTTTTATGACATTTGTGACTTTCATCGGTACACACGCATTTTATAAGGCATTGACGTTGTGTGACACTAGTCATGTCGATCGCCTAATTAGTGAGGAGACATTATCATGACATATGATGTATATAGATTATCATAAATACAAGGGAGGTGATTTATTATTAAAAAATTAAAAAAAAATTGTTGAAAAACAATATGAATCTGGTAAATATAAGGTTTCATACTATAGAATAGTAAAAACAAAACAAACCAAAAATAAAAAAAATTATCAACAATTTTCTTTACCAAATAAATGAATTTGTCGTGTAAAATCGGCTTAAAATTGTTTTATTCTACTTCACTAATAGCATGTCTAGTTCGTCTCTATAATTTGTATCGGGTAGTCATGTTGAATCAAAATTACACACTTTAATGATGAGTTATCTACAAACCATCGCGTTATTGTCACTTGGATTTTAAATAATAACTTGATTTGTTAACTTAATCAATCATAACTATTAAATCAGGTAGTGAATTCCAATAAATAATAACACTCACAGTTAAATCAATGATAGTGATCGATTAAGTCAGCAACCATTGATTTGTTGACTTTCTTTGCAATGTGCTTGCTCCAATCTCCCTATCCTTAACAATATTGGTTCTATGATGCTTCTCCTCTTATGTTTGACTTTCTTCAGATCCTGCAGTAACAAAACATTTTGGAGTTGCTCTTTGAACATACTTGTGACGGGTTTCTTGGAAGAAGTCATACATCTTGTGATTAAAAAAGTTCGTAGGGACAACATAGATTGATATCGAGTTTTTCCAAATTTATGAATCAATCAATGATTCCATAATCAGAAAAAAAAATTGCAAGATAAGCTTCTACTTATAACTTGATTTAAATATGCAAAAACTTGTGTAAATTCCAAATCTGACATGACAAAGTCATTCTACTATGTTGGTGAATGAGTCTTGTGAGGTGTGGGAGATTTGAGGTTAAAATTCTCAAAAATTAATGATCAATATAAGAGATAATAATGAGTTAAAAGCAACTTCTAGTTTCTTCTTCTTCTTCGCCCATAATTAGAAGATACAAATTTCCACTCTTTTCTAATTCCAGTTTTACGAGTAAAAATACAATAATAATATCATGTTATAACAAACACATTGTCACACACAACCTCAATAACAAGGCACATATGCTTGGTTTACTCTGCATGCCTTTATCATTATTTGATCCTACTTTCTAATAGTGTGTCAATATTGACATGGTATCATGTACAATTGAATCGAATGTTTATATTTTACACCGCTTCGATCCACACTGAGCCAAAATACCAATTTCACCAGTGGGATTCTTGTTTTCAAGATTTAGAGAATTTGAATGGATATAAATGTTTGTAATTGTCTCCAAGATGACAAGAATGCTTATGATTAACTATTGTCTTCTTCAGTAACATGGTGAAAAGGCATAACATAGTAAAAAAAAATTTCATACAAATCAATTGTTTAAGTTCTTCAAGAAAACAAAACCTGCTCTAGACTGAGTACCCATTGCCCAATGATCATAAAAATATTAATCTTGTCCTAGATATTCACAAATTGAGGCTAATATCAGGACACTGATTCTCACAGTGATCATGATAGAACAAAGTAGTGGTATTACCATGTATGTAGGTACATGACATGATCTGTACAATAATTTTTCCACAAGTACCTCAAAATCTCACTTAGAATTTGTCTCATTCACAGAGTCAGATCTAGAGTACTTGCCATTCTTGGTTGTTTTCTACTACCGTCACTTTCTTCTAATCTGCTAGACTTTGAGGCTGAAGATGAGAACAAAGAAAGTGATAAACTACTATCAACATTACTGTCCTTCAAACTTCTCTAAAAAACATCATGTTTTGGTGTCATTTTCAGCGAGAGATTCAAATTTTGATCACAATCTGAATCTAAAACCTTTCTTTTTTGCGTTCTTGTTTCTTCCAGATTCACCAGCCAGTTTTTGTCTCGGGAAAGAGAACCATGCACTTGATCTTTTTCTCTATCTTGTAGCTCTGTGATGGGGTTAAGTTCAATTGAATTTGTTCTATATGAAGTTCGCCATGAACTAGGAGCTTGAAACAATAGAGGCTCTGCCGGATTTTCGAGGTTTCTCCGGGCACTTTGTGCCTGAAAAGAAGAACTAGCCATATGACCAAGTAAATGGACATTGTTGCTCCTAAAGATCCTCTCAAATGTTGAACCATAAATTCCATGTCTGGTTCCATTAAATGCAGCCACAGCCATGTAAGGACTATAATTCGAGCTTCCATGGCGACTTCATAAAGCATCTCCTTATCTTCAAAAAAGTAAAGAAGAATAAAAAAGAAAGAATTGAAACTGTTCTCATCATAGAGCATTTGCAATTGGAGAAGTGGGAAAAAAAGAAAGAGTTTACACATTATATATATATATATATATATAGATATGCCTTAAGCTAGAAATGGGCCTTTGATTGAAACCCTGTAGCATGGGAAGCTGGCTAAGGTTATAAATATGGTGATCCCCACCATCAACAGCGAGCCTTTGATCTGAAATAGCTGTCAAAAAAGTACAGCTAACCCATGTGAGAGAGAGAGAGAGAGAGGTCACACAATAAACCACATGACAAACCCTAGTTTTTGTTCCACATGTATAGATGAGCATATATGTTACCTTGATTGGGATCATCAATCTTCTTGCTCCTGTACGTCTAATTGACAAAACCAAGAAGTTGAAAAATTTAGTAAGTGGGTGCTGAATTTAATTACAGGTTCGAAGCAGAAAACAAAATATTTTTTGCTGGTGGCATGTATCGGTCCTTTTGAACAAATTTTTACCTGAAGATGACTCTTGACATGGGCGATGCTATGGCCTTTGATTTTCATTGATTGAAGAACTAACTTAGGTCTTTCTCCTGCACCAGTATAATTCACAAAATATGATTATTGAATTCCATCAGTAATCGAATCGATTACGATGTGATCTTAGTTTTTTCTAGAGTGTGAAGCTCCTTAATCAAAGAGGGGGCGGATGATTATCGAGTTCTGTAAAATCTAAAACTTGAGAACATATTTAGAAATGACTAATAAAGAGAAAAGAGAATTAGATAATACTCCATGGAAGCCTCTGTGTTTAGCATAGATAACATGAGTATTGAAGATAGATAATCAAGAAAGAAACAAGATTTAAATACTCACTATCTTGTCCTCCCAACCTTTCCACAGCATGAATAAACCGAAGATGAAGATCAGGAGTCCACCGGAGCCTCGGGTTCTTTGGTTGTACATACTGCCTTACAGATCTAGAAGCTGCCTTTTTCCCATTCTCTTCAGCAGTGCTATTGCTCGAGCTTGCTCCATTTGTCGGTCTAGGATTGTCATCAACTTCCTCTTCCTCATCCTCTGCTTCATTTATGGTGCTAGGGGTTGTCTTGGAGTCTTTTGTATTCTCACTTTTACTCGTATCCTTTGTTTGTTTGTCTTCAGAAAGTGTTAATGATCAAGAAAA